AAACCCTTCCCATTCATGTACCCATCCAGATGCCTTTTAAATGTTGTAACGTGCCAGCCTCCACCACTTCCTCTGGCAGCTGGTTCCATACATGCACCACCCTCTGTGAAAGAGTTGCCCCTTAGGTCCCTTTTAAGTCTTTTCCCTTCTCACGTTAAACCTACACCCTCTAGTTTTGGACTCCCCTACCCTGGGGAAAATACCTTGGCTGTTCATCCTATCCATAGAATTCCTACAGTGTGGAAACAGGCTCTTCGGCTCAACAAGTCCACACCGAACCTCGCAGCATCCCACCCAGACCAGTCCCCTTGTAACCCATGTAATCTACACATTCCTGAACACTACGGGCAATTTAGCATGGCCAATCCACCTAACCTGCACATCTTTGGACTGTGGGAAGAAACCAGAGCACCCGGAGGAAACCCACGCAGACACAGGGAGAATGTGCAAGCTCCACACAGACAGTTGCCCGAGACTGGAATCAAACCCAGGTCCATGGCACTGTGAGGCAGCAGTGCTAACCACTGAGCCACCGTGCCGTACCATGCTCCTCCTGGTTTTATAAACAAACTCTCAGCCTCCGACGCTCCAGAGAAAATAGCCCCAGCCTATTCAGCTCTGTCCCTATAGGTCCAGCCCTCCAACCCTGGCGACGTCCTTGTGAATCTTTTCTGCGACCCTTTCAAGTTCAACATCATCTTTCCTGCAACTGAGAGACCAGAACTGAACACATTATTCCGAAAGTGGGCTCACCAATGTCCTGTACAGCCATCCTGTTGATTCAGGATCTTGACGTAATGTTCTGTTTGAATTTCTGTTCTGTCAATCCTCCCCTAATCCCCTGTGAAGAGAGTTTGACAAAAGTCAGCAGTTTACATACAGTATAGAAACTCAAAACAGATCATTCCAGTTTCCATGAAACATCGTTTCCTCTTGTTGATGGCTCAGCGGTTAGCACTGATGCCTCATGGCCCCAGGTTTGATTCCATCCTTTGGCGACTGTCTGTGTGGAGTTTGCACATTCTCCCCACCGTGTCTGCATGGGTTTCCTCTGGGTGCTCTGGTTTCCTCCCACAGTACAAAAGATGTGCAGGTTACGGTGGATTGGCCATGCTAAATTGTCCCATAGTGTCCAGGGATGTGCAGGCTCGGTGGGTTAGCCTTGCGAAATGCAGGTTTACAAGGATAGGGTAGGGGGGGTGTTTAGTTAAGGGTGGGATGCTCTTCAGAGGGTCGGTGTGATCTCAATGGGCCGAATGGCCTGCTTCCACTGTAGGGATTCTAGGGTTGTGCCTCACAAATGCTGTAAATCCTGGTCCCCCATACTTGAAATGTTAAATATTTTCAGTCAACTTCCTGACGTCTTTAGCTGCAATACTGTTTTCCGACTTAAGCCACTTGGAAAACAAAAACGGCTATGGAGGAAATGCCCACCTACTGGTGAAGTTGCATTTTCAGCTCTAGCAGATTGAAGGGGTTCTCTGCCACCAGTTTTTTTTAAATGGGCCCACCTCACACAGTTGCCCCTTCTCTTTTTGAAGCTGCTCACATATTGAGAAGCTGCTGTGTCCTCTCCACCAGCCTCCCTGCACTGTTTCAGAATATTTATAGAGTCATACAGCACGGAAACAGAGCCTTCGGTCCAACCAGTCCGGCCAACAATAATCCCAAACTAAACTGGTCCTACCTGCCTGCGCCTGGCCGACATCCCTCCAAACATTTCTTATTCGTGTACTTATCCCAATGTGTTCTAAATGTTGTAACTCACACCACCACTACCTCTGCAAGCTCATTCCACACATGAACAACTCTATGTAAAAGAATTGCCTCTCATGTCTTTTTTAAACGTTTCTCCTCTCACCTCGTCTTGAAATCCCCCAGCCTACGGAAGAGACACCTGCCATTCACCTTATCTGTACCCCTCGATATTTTATGAACCTCTATAAGGTCACCTCTCAACCTCCTATACAGGAGTGAATAAAGTCCCAGCCTCTCCTTACAACTCAAACCCTTCCTTCCTGGCAACATCCTGGTAAATCTCTTCTGAATGGCCTCTATCTGGTGGGAACACACCGGTGAATTTCTGGGTCTGCTGGGAATGAAATCTCTTTCCACAATCCCTACGCTTCACAGATCGTACCCAGCATTGGAAATGTCAGATCAATTAAAATCTTGTCCGCGCCGAGCACATGTGCACGCTCTCTCCCCACTCTAAACAGAAGTCTCAGCATTCTAGCCTTCATAGCAATAGGATTTGAGTATCAGAGTAAGGATGTCTTGCTGCATTTATACAGGGCCTTGGTGAGGCCACACCTTGAGTACTGTGTGCAGTTTTGGTCTCCCAGTCTGAAGATGGACATTCTTGCTATTGAGGGAGTCCAGTGAACGTTCACCAGACTGATTCCCGGGATGGCAGGACTGACCTATGAGGACAGACTGGATCGACTGGGATTGTATTCACTGGAATTTAGAAGAATAAGCAGTGGGGGGTGGGGGAGGGGATCTCATAGAAACACATAAAATCCTGATGGGACTGGACAGGCTAGATGTGGGAACAGTGTCCTTGCCTGTTGAGTAAGTCCAGCCCCGAGGCATCTCCACCTAAGAATAAGGGGTAAGCCATTCAGGACTGAGATGAGGAAGAATTTCTTCACTCGAGAGTTGTGAACCTGTGGAATTCTCTCCCACAGGAAGCTGTAGGTACCATTTTATTAGATATATTCAAGAGGTCACGTGGTCCTTGCGGCAAAAAGGATCAAGGGATGTAGGGAGAAAGCAGGAATGGGATACTGAGATTGCATGCTCAGTCACGATCATATTGAATGGTGGTGCACGCTCGAAGAGCCAAATGGCCCATTCCTGGACCTATTTTCTATGTTTCTAAGCACTGTATGTGTTTCCACGTTTAATGCTGATGATTTTTGGATCTTGGCAATTTGTGACTTTGTCAGATCTTGACGTGATGCTTGGTTTGAGTTTTCTGGTCTGCAGATCCTTCCCATTGAATACCCCGCGAAAGGAGTTTCCAGAAGCTACTCCTGTCATCCCAGATTGCAACTCTCACCATTATCTCTTACCGTCGTCCAAGGCAAAGATGAGTGCTGCAAATGCCAGCCCCACCCCGGCTTCTCAGTAGAGCCCCTGTGTGTTTAAAGTTTTACAGGAGGGTAACAGACCTTACAGCCCATTGTCAAGAACCCATATGCTGTCATCCCATTTTTCACCACTGTAGCGTTGTATCCTATGGTATTTCAAATAATCATCCAAATGCTTTTTAAACATTACGAGGGTTCCTGATTCTACCACCCTTTCAGGCAGCAAGTTCCAGATAATTGGTGGCATAATGGACAGCAAAGAAGGTTATCTCAGAGTACAATAGGACCTTGATCAGATGGGCTCTTATTCTTAGGCTGGGTAGATAGTAGTGAAGAAGGCATTTGGTACGCTTGCCTTTATTGGTAAGTGCATTGAGTACAGGAGTTGGGAGATCATGTTGCAGCAGAACAGGACATTGGTTAGGCCACTTTTGTAATACTATGTTCAATTCTGATCTCCTTGCTATAGGAAAGATATTGTTAAACTTGAAAGGGTTCAGAAAAGATTTAAAAAGATGTTGCTGGGGTTGGAGGGTTTGACCTATAGGAGAGGCTGAATAGGGTGGGGCTACTTTCCTGCAGCGTGGGAGACTGAGGGGTGACCTTATAGAGGTTTATAAAATCGTGAGGGTATGGAAAGGGTGAATAGCCAAGGTCTTTTCACCAGGGTAGGGGAGTCAAAAACTAGACAGCAGAGGTTTAAGGTGAGAGGGGAAAGACGTAAAAGGGACCTGAGGGGTAACTTCTTCACACAAAGGCTGGTGCGTGTATGGAATGAGTTCCAGAGGAGGTGGTGGAGGCTGGTACAATTATAACATTTAAAAGGCATCCGGATGCATTCATGAATAGGAAGGGTTTAGAGGGTTTGGGCCAAATGCTGGCAAATGGGACTAGATTAATTTAGGATATATGGTCGGCATGGACAAGTTGGGCCGAAGGGTCTGTTTCTGTCCTGTACATCTCTATGACTGTACACCAACCACCCTCTGGATGAAAAGTACCATCCTTCAATACCGCCCCACCCCCCGCCATACAAACCTCCTGCCCTTTACCTTCAACCTATGTCCCTGGTTTTTGAGCCCTCTCTCAAATGGGGAAGTATGTCCCTCTGTCCCCTGTCTAATTCCCTCCGAACTTTGTTCCACTTTAATCAGATCGCTGTCTCTACCTTCTCTGCTCTCAGAGTACAGCGCCAGCCTCCCGTCGGAGCTGAGACACCCGGCTTGATGGGAATGCAGGTCAGGTACCTTGTTCCTCGGTGTCTGGTGCTGGGTTGAGGGTGTAGGAAGTGAAAGTGTACAAGGCCTGTCTGCCCATCAGTTTTCCTTCTTCTCCCTCTTCCGCCTGCGCGCGGACTGCTTCTCCTGCCACAAGTCCCGCCCCCGTTCACCAGGATTGGTTGGAGGACGAGACACGCCCCCCTTTGGCCCGCAGCCCCGCCCGGCTCCTTCATCCTGATTGGTTGGAGGGCGAGTCGGTCCGCCGGCCCCACCGATCTCACTCACTCCGATTGGTTAGAGGTCTAGCCGCGCCCCCTCGGACTTGCAGCCCCGCCCACCTCGCTCACTCTGATTGGTTTGAGGACCAGCAGCTTTCGCTAGGTCTTCCAGCCCGGCCCACCCCATTCACTCTGATTGGTTGGAGGTCCGCCGCCGCCCGGAAAACGGTCCTCCAGCCCCGCCCTCAAGCTGCCGTCAATCACCCGGGTTCACCTCGCCCTTCTGTTGCTCTACTGCTCGTTGCGTCATCAGTGTGCGCCCTGGAGCGGAAGTCTGTCTCAGCTGTCGACCTGAAGTCAGGTGGAGGAGAGAGAAAAAAAAGGAAGAAAGCTGGAAATGGATGAAAGAAATGGTGAGATGGGTTTAACTTTTAGTCTAGGCGGGAGGGGGATTTTGTGGGACCTAGATTTACAACTTTAATGGAGCAAGAAAGGAAATAAAAATGTATAGAAACTGGACTTGTCTGTTCTGGACTGACATTGATGACTTTTTTAAACTCCCTTTGCAGGATATTAGAACAAAGGATTTAAAGATGCAAGACTCAAGCCAGAGATAGCAGAACTGGAGATGCTGGAGAATCTGAGATAACAAGGTGTAGAGCTGGATGAACACAGCAGGCCAAGCAGCATCAGAGGAGCAGGAAGGCTGACGTTTCGGGCCTAGACCCTTCTTCAGATTCAAGCCAATCCTTCCTCCAGGATCTGGTTGTTGCACTCAGTTAATCAGGGCCTGAATGTCCCAGAATCTGAATGTGGAAGGAAAGCTGTTTGCCCTGTCTATGGGGAACATCCGTGAAACCAGAAGAGCACTGAGATACGCAGTGAGAGTAGGTAAAGTTTTTGCCCATTACGCAGCTTGAAGTAATTACCCCATTTGCAGTCACAAGGCGAGTACATGTGTGTTCCGTGCGTGGACAACTCATTATCCAACAGGGAGAGTCACAAGGACGTCTGCGAGATGGAGAAACCGTGGAAATGTGGGGACTGTGGGAAGGGCTTCAATTACCCCTCTCAATTGGATATCCATCGACGCAGGCACACTGGAGAGAGGCCATTCACGTGCACCCAGTGTGGGAAAAGGTTTGCTTATTCATCCAGCCTCTATTTACACCAGAGGGTACATATTCGCAAGAAGCCATTTGCCAGCCTTGGTTGTCGGGAACAATGTGATGCTTCATCAAGCCTCCTGATTGACCGGGTTCATTCTGAGCAGAGGCCTTTTAAATGTTCTGACTGTGAGAAGAGCTTTAAAAGCAAACAGGAGCTGCTGAGACACAAACGCACTCACACAGGGGTAAGACCTTATACTTGTTCCCTTTGTGGAAAAGGATTCACTCAGTCATCCTACCTTCTGACACACCAGCTTGTTCACACTGATGAGAGACCATTCTCGTGTTCTGACTGTGGGAAGTGTTTTAAAAGTAAAAATGATTTGCAATTCCATCAACGCATTCACACCGGGGAGAGGCCGTTCTCTTGCTCCCTGTGTGAGAGGAGATTCAGACGTTTATCCCAACTGCAGACACACCAGCGAGTTCACACTGAGAAGAGACCTTTTAAATGTTCCAACTGTGAGAAGAGCTTTAAAAGCAAGCAGGATCTGTCGACACACCAGCGGGTTCACACAGGGGAGAGGCCATTCACCTGTTCCGTGTGTGGAAAGAGATTCACCCGATCGTCCAATCGTCTGAGACATCAGCGAGTCCACACTGGGGAGAGGCCATTCACCTGCTATGTGTGTGGGAAAGGATTCACTGATTCTCCACAGCTTCTGATACACCAGCGAATTCACACCGGAGAGAGACCGTTCACTTGCTCCATATGTGGGAGGGGATTCACTCAGCCATCCCAGCTTGCTGAACATCAGCATGTTCACAGCGATCAGCGACCGTTCAAATGTTCTGACTGCGAGAAATGCTTTAAAAGCCGAAAATATCTGCTAATGCACCGGCAGGTTCACACTGGGGAGAGACCGTTTGCCTGCTTGGTGTGTGGGAAGAGATTCACTCAGTCATCCCACCTGTTGAGACACCAGCAGCTTCACACCGGGGAGAGGCCGTTCACTTGCTCTCAGTGTGGGAGGAGATTTGCTCGGTTATCCAACTTGCTGAGACACCAGAGAGTTCACAAGTGTTCACTGGGGCTGAATTCCTCTGTCAATCCCATCCAGGACTGAGCCATGTTCATTTAGACAGTTGAGACTGCCTTAGCTGCTGTAAACCTTCCTTGTAACTGGTCTGGTGTTCAACGTGCTGGGTACAGACTGAATAAATATTGATGGGAAATCTTCAACCAGCCTATGTCTGAATGAAATGCTGAGCAGGCTTGAAGGGGCTGAGTGGCCTACTGCAGTTGCTATGTGTTATGGACCAGGCCAGATCCCCTCAAAATACTTTGAGAAGGTAGCCTAGATCCTAACATTTTATTTTATTTTAAAGGCAAATATGAAATGTGTGTTCCAGATGCAATGCAACCAGTCCAACTACTCAACGTTAAGGGCAAAACACAATTTATTTAAACACTGTAGTGAAAATACATCCAAAGAGAAAGGAACTTAGAATAACTTAACTATTTTAAAACTTCACTGTATAATAGATATTAGTAACTATTCTAATTAACTGTTCCAATATAATAACACCCCTTAAACACACCCCTTGGCAAAAAGGAAACTTCAGACACAGATTCTCACATGCAGTTCTCCAATCCAGAAGGGAAAAAACATCAAGGGAAAATTCGGAGACAGTAGCAGCCAGGAGACATTTACTAAAGCATCCAACTCTGCTGAGACCCCAACAACTTCCGACATTATTGAGAAACCAAAACCGAAACCTGGAAATCCCGATCTGAGAGAGCTGGCTACATTCAGCCTGTTAACAAAAACCCAAGGCCTCCCATGCTGTTTACTCAAGCAGTTTTAACTAGGCAGCTCGGCGCTTCTGCCTTTCAACGTCTCTTTTCAAAAAAAATCAATATAACCTCTTAAAGCGACAGTATTGTCACAATATGTCCTTTCTCTCCAGACGTCTCCCACTCTCGAATTCTGCTCAAGTGCTGGTCCCCTGTTGCAGTGTCCTCTCTCTAGTTTCTCCATGACATTTCATCTGAAATTGGGATTCGGGGCAAGAGCATAGCAATAGGAGGAGGCCTTTCAGCCTGTCGAAATCTGTTCTGTCCTCAATTGAGGTCATTGCTAATCATTACTAACCCAGCTCCAGTTCCGTAGATATCATTTTTAGTACGGTTACTTTCCCAGCCGACAATCTGATTTTAAACAAGGCCTCAGTTTCCCAGGACTCTTCCCTGAAGTCTAACTTTACAAATCAGACGAAACTTGACGCTGAGTCGAAGACGGATGTGTTGGAAAATGGCTAACAAAATCTGGGTTAAAGACACGGTTCTTTAAAAGGATCTGAAGGAGGAGGGAGAGGTGTTGAGTGACAAGGAAGCAAATTACTTCTTTCTCATTGGCAAAGTAGGCATTTGCTGCAGATTTTTATTTGGCTGGGAGAAGGCAGCAGTGAGCTGTCTTGTTTGAACCACTACAGTCTTTGGAAGTGTAGACACCATTATGTCGTCAGGAAGGAAGGAAGTTTCGGGATTTGGACCCAACGGCAGTGGAGGGAACAGCAAGTCCAGATAGCGTGAGGCTTGGAGGAGGACCCTGTAGATAGTGGCATTCCCATCCATCTGCTGCCTTACCCCTTCTGGGTGATGGAGGTAGCAGGTTTGGAAGGTGGTGTCGGAAGAGCCATGGTGAATTATCGCAGTTATAAAGTTGTAGGGAACAAAAACAGAACCCTTTGGCCCAACTCGTCAGCACCGACCAGGTATCCCAAATTAATCTGGTCCCATTTGCCAGCATTTGGCCTAAATCCCTCTTAAACCCTTCCTATTCATGTACCCATCCAGATGTCTTTTAAATGTTGTAATTTTACCCTCCTCCACCACTTCCTGTGCCAGCTTGTTCCAAACACGCACCACTGTCTGCGTGAAAACATTGCCCGTTAGGACCCTTTTAAATCTTTCCCCTCTCACTTTCATCCTATGTCCTCTAGTTTTAGACTCCCCTGGCCCAGGGAAAAGGCCTTAAATATTCACCCTGTCCATGTCCTTTGTGATTTTATAAACCTCTATAAGGTAACCCCTCAGCGTCCAATACTATGGGGAAAATAGCCCCAGCCTATTCAGCCTCTCCCTATAGCTCCAACCCTCCAAACCCAGGAACATTCTTGCAAACTTTTTCTGAACCCTTTCAAGTTTCGCAACATCCTCCCTACAGCAGGGAGACCAGAATTGCACACAGTATTCCAAAAGTGGCCTAACGTGCAACACAACATCTCAACTCCTATACTCAATGCTCTGACCAATAAAGACAAGTGTACCAAACGCTTTATTCACTATGCTATCGACCTATGATTCCACTTTCAAGGAACTATGAGCCTGCGCTCCAAGGTCTGTTTGCTCAGCAATACTCCGCAGGACCTTACCATTAAGTGTTTAAGTCCTGCCCTGATTTGCTTTTCCAAAATGCAGCACCTCACATTTATCTAAATTAAGCTCAGTCTGCCACTCCTCCATACGGACATCGTCCACGTGTTCACTTCCTTCCTCCAAATCAGTAGTGGATACTTTTCACAGAGTAGAATCCCAACAGTGTGTGACCAGGTCATTGACCCTTCAAACAGCAACCCACCAGACCCACCCCATCCTTGTAACCCTGAATTTTTCCATGGCTAACCCACCTAGCCTGCACGTCCCTGGACACTATGGAGTAATTTCCCATGGCCAATCCGCCCTAACCTGCACATGTTTGGACTCAGGGAGGAAACCGGAGCAAACCCACGCAGACACAGGTAGAATGTGCAAACTCCACACAGACAGTCGCCCGAGGGTGGAATCAAACCTGGGTCCCTGGCGCTGAGAGGCAGCAAGACTAACCACTGAGCCACCGTGCCGCCTGTTTTCTCCACAAGCAAATGAATATATTTTCAAAGTAATCAATATTAATTGGCTTTCTTGAGTTAAAGAAAGTTTAGTTCCCAAACCAGAGGATGAATAATAACGCAATGCACGTACGGGTTAAAATTGAGTTCAAAGATCGATAAAGGTTAGAAGGTGTGCCGATCAGGAAGAACAGAGTGAAATGTTGAAGCCATGACGTTTGGTGACAGAGGTAGTGTTGATGTTGCCAGCCTCGTGGTCAATTTCAAAACTGTTGGTGACTGGCTTCCAGCACTGAGAGTGAGACCTGTATTTTCTTTTGACCTGCAGTACAGGGGTGTATAAAGACATGTCCTCAAGCTGTGGCCTTCACAACACACTTGCGCATCAGGAACAGTAAAGCACAAACACCTCGTTTGAATCATGTCCACAGTCTGGAAACATGCCATAGGAAGTGCTTTCCTACAGAGAGGACGTAATTAAATTGCTGTGCCTCTGAAGTGGCCTTCATTGAAGCTTCCTTAGTTCAAGGTGCGATGTTCCAGGGGTTCCCAGGGGTTCTCATGGAACCTCTCAGCAGCCAACGAATTCCATTCTTACAAGTTACATTTATTAGCCAGGATGTAGCAATAGAATTGAATATCCTTTCTTGTCACGTGTACTCAAGTACAGGAGTACAGTGAAAAGGTTGCAATGTTTCCTCTTATTGGCACCAACGTAGGTACAAAGTACCCCAGTACAAAACCCCAGTCCAACAACCATCCCCACTCTGCTCCAGGCTTTCAGCCGCGCCGCTCCGCTCTGCTCCAGGCCTCCAGCCTGCTCTGCTCCGGCTCTCAGCAGCTCCAGGCCTCCAGCTTCCAGCCCACTTTGCTCTGACTCCAACCATAATCCCAAACTAGTCCCACCTGCCTGCTTCTGGCCCATAGCCCTCCAAACCTTTCCTATTCATGTACTTATCCAAATGTCTTTTAAACACTGTAACTGTGCACACATCCACCACTTCCTCTGGAAGTTCATTCTACACACGAATCACTCTCCGTGTAAAAAAAATTACCCCTCCCATCCTTATAAAATCTTTTTCCTCTCACCTTAAAAATATGCTAGTTTTTGAAATCCCCCACCATAGGAAAAAGGCACCTGCTATTCACCTTATCCATACTCCTCATGATTTTATAAGCCTCTATAAAGTCATCCCTCAACCTCCTGTGCTCCGGTGAAAATGTCCCAGCCTATCCAGCCCCTCCTCATAACTCAAACCTTCTATACCCAGCAACATCGCGGTAAATCTTTTCCAAACCCTCTCCAGCTTAATAATATCCTTCCTATAACTGGGCAGCCAGAACTGGACGCTGTACTCCAGAAGAGGCCTCACCAATGTCCTGTACATCCTTAACAGTAACGTCTCAAGTCTTATACTCAAAGGTCTGAGCAATGAAGGCAAGCGTGTTAAACACCTGAACCACCCTGTCTATATGTGAGACAAACTTCAAAGAATTATGTACCTGAACCACTAGGTCTCTCTGTTCTACAGCACTACCCAAGGCTTTACTTTTAATTGTATAAATCCTGACCCTGATAGGTTTACCAAAATGCAATACCTCGCATTTATCCAAATTAAACTCCTCAGCCCATTGACCCAACTGATCAAGATTTCTCTTTACAATCTTATAATCTCTCTTTATAATCTTTATAACCCTCTTCACTGTCCATTACATCACCAATCTGTGTGTCATCTGCAAACTTACTAACCATGCCTTCTGTATTCTCATCCAAATCATATTTATAAACGACAAACAAAAGTGGACCCAGCAACCGATCCCTTTGGGACACCTCTGGTCACAGGCCTCCAGTCTGAAAAACAACCCTCCACCACCATCCTCTGTCTCCTGCCATCAAGCTAATTTTGTACCCAATTGGCAAACTGACCCTGAATTCCATATGGTCTAACTTTACTAATTAGTCTACCGTGCTGAACCTTGTCAAAGGCTTTACTGAACTAAACCATGTCTACTGCTCTGTCCTCATCAATCTTCTTGGTTATTTCCTCAAAAAAACACAATCAAGTTTGTGAGACACAATTTCCCTCGCACAACACCATACCAGCTCTCCCGAATTAGCTCTTGCCTTTCCAAATGCATGTAAATCCTATCTTTCAGAATCACTTCCACAACGTACCCACCACCAAAGTCAGACTCACAAATCTAAAGTTCACAGGCTTCTCCTTCCATTCCTTCTTAAAGAAAGACACAACATTAGCCACTCTCAAGTTATTCCACCTTTGGGCATTTGTGGCAGAGGAGCGCGGATGAGTCAGAGGATCTTCTCATAGGTCTGCTCTTGGGCCTGGC